ATTCTCGTGAAAATTGTGAAGAGTGAATATTGCAAGAAGAAACACCCTTCTAGGCAGTGCTGTGTGTGCGCAGAGCACAAGAAGAAGAGTAGAACTGCCTACATGTGCAACTTCTGCGTAATGCCTCTTCACAAACGGGAATGTTTCCAGAGATATCACATGAGCAAGCACTTCTAGGAGCTCTGGTAAGTGTTCTCCAAAAATTTCAGTTCATAAAATTAATTAGATTTTATATTAATTTTTAAAGTGAACAGTGCACAACTTAGGGTAGTAGGTTTAAAAACACCGGTCCCCAGGGTGATTTAAATGTTTAAACCACCGGTCCGCAATGTGTTAAATAAACACAATTATCAATTTTTGGAAGAGAAAAACATGGTCACTGTATAAGTGTTAAAAAAAACTGTATACTAAATGTGGATTATTTACTACACTGATATTCACTATATACTGGGGGAAAAAGTAAGAAACTGTTTATACTGGACTTGGCTGGAACCAGAAAAATATTCAGTAAATGTGGGTACACTAAGAATATCATGTAAAATTCATAAATGTCTAACACTTATACATGTGTACTCGTATATGTGATAAAATCTAAGCTTACAGAAGTAGTTTGCACATTACTGCTTTTAACATCTTTTAAAATAGGGCTGTTTTGATCAGAATGTATTCCTGAACTGCTGATTATTTTATTTTTTTAGCTGACTAATCAGTGGATTCAAGTGACATTATGCCATAGAATTGTTTAATTCATGTTTCAAAATTGACCTTAAAAATACAAATATTTTCTATATTTGTCACTCAAAACTCCATCATCAGATTTAAGGATATTTAACAGGAAACCACTGTGAACAAGTTTCTCTTCACACCTTTAACAGCACTTTAGTAATAAAATAAATCAGCAATTCTTGTGAGGAAGTATCTCCCCACTGACAAATCAATTTACTGATAAGGCTGGTAAAGCTGTCCCTGTAACAGGCCATCAAGGCTCAAAAGGTTGTGAGAGGTCAAGGCTTTCACATGTTCTAGACAATCAGCTCACAGATGGCAGTAAGTTTGT